GTATTGATATCATTTTTCTTAAAAGTGCTTATTTGACTAATATAATTAGTAATGTGAGTCCTTGTTAAAAGATGCAGGGAACCTCAGTAAAAACAAGCTTAGAGAATGTGTCTCCTCTTCTTTTTTTGTTGCCACCTCCGGGCTTCTCTGTCTATACAGCAATTAAAGTAAATAGTGCCACATGTCCTATGTGTATGTATCATGACTATTGCAAGGGAAGGTGCTGTGCCCTGGAATATGAGGAAAGTGAGCATGATTCTTGATTTGCTCCCCGGTGGGAGGAAGAAGAGTTAGGAGAACTCAGTGCTGGGTCTGTTTCAGCCCCTTGAGTACTTGTGTGCTTTCATATCTGTGGGCCTTGGGTTTTTACCTGTAAAAACAGTCCATTGGCTGGGATGATCTCAAAGTTCCCCTTTGATTTTTATCATTCTCTGGCTCTATGGGTTATAGTCTGTTGTTTGGTGGGGTTTTTGTTGTTGTTGTTTTTGGCAGTTGTGTGGGGCAGAGGATTCCCTTGGCCTTCAAAATGGGGAACATAGACTGAAAATACTCTAAATCTGGTCATAGCACTTTTTCCTCTGTTTTGCAGAGCCCTCCCTGTAGGGGATCAGTGGCACATCTGTAACACCTGCTGTGAGCTGAGCTCAGAGGTGAATTTTAAAGGAAACCTGACAAATGACTCAGTTATCTACAGCAGTCTGTGACTTTGTTGAGCAGTGATGAGTCCTTTTCCTGCGGTTGCTTTGCATTTCCATGATCCAAGGCAGACGCTGTTCCCCATCCTTCACTCCTGTTCAGGAGCAGTGTTGTCAGTGGTGTTGCTTTGGCTCATCTAAGCCAAATAGACAGAAAGAATCTATAAGGCCCTTCACACCCAACATGGCATTCATCTTCTCATTCATGCTACTTCCTCTCCCGACTTCCTCCTCTATGGATAACACCCTCAACCTCCTAATGAGCTAGACTGGAAACTGCAGAATCATTCTGGACTCCCACCCTCAAGTGGCTCCCAGGTCCTCTCTAGGCTGCCCATGTTATATGGCTTTGGTTCATCCTTTCTTTCACTTTGCCGGGCCACTAACTTACCCGACGTTCTTGTTACCATTTACCTGGATGCCTGAAATAAACTCAGCACCCGAGAGAGGCTTGAGCTGCTTCTATTTGTGAGGCTTCCCACATATTAAAAACTCAAAGACTTTCAAAACAGGAATATGAAAATTCAGTCTGTTTATCTTTTGAGAAATTAATACGTTTAATACACACAATGATAACACCATACATCTGTACTATTTACAAGTCATTACAAGACACATTATAACATGATTCATTTATTGGGGATAAAGTGAAACTGTTCCTCTTACTCTTTTTAAAGTGTTTTTTCCCCCACTCTATTGTGGTGTTGCCATAACCTGAGTTTAAAGCTATGAGCACCTTTCAATCCTGTCACAGTGGTCCTCGCTGGTTGTATGTGGAGCCCCACTTGGAGATTATCGGAGGTTCTTATGATCACAGGGCTTAGCAACACTACTCCTCTACCCATGCCAACTGTTCTCTTTCTGCCAGTCTCCTTGTTCTCGTCCATCTTATGTAGTTTTTCAGGATTAAGCTTCTTCGATCCCAGGCACTAATAATGTGATTTTTGCCATTCAGCCATCTTTAGTGGCCTACTAAATGAAGATACACAGCTCTTCTTAGTATTCTGTCCGACCTGTTGTCTGTACTGTTCACCCCCATTCTCCACAGCACTAAGCCTGTGAAGTTCACCATGGGTATGTGCAGAGAGCTTCATGACTTCCCAAATTAGTGAGTACAATCGTAGGCGATGTTGCCTATGGTGTCTTCCTCTGTAGAATGGGTTAGAATACCTCTTTCACAAGGTTTACGAGGAGTGCTTGGGAACTGTTGGTTGCCAGCTGTGTTTACCCATTATCTAAGGAACATTTATCATTTATCAGCTTCACAGCTTTAAATTGGAGCCCTAGCCAAATTATGAATGATGGAATTGAAGTTTTATCTGTTATGTTAATAAGTATCAGAGAACTTTCTGACACTCTCAAATCCAAATGAGTTATTTCCTTTTTACTAAAGTCTCCCTGGTCTTAAGCTGGTGAACACAACCTCTGGAATGCTAGTCACCCTGCCCACCATCTTCATTTCTCTATATATTTTAAAAGGAATTCTTTTTATGCTTCCAAGCCCAGCTTCACTGCCAACTCTCCCTGATTGCTTGAGCAGGAAGGAGACACACACTCCCTCTGAGCCTCCAGATGCCTTGCTAACACCCCTCACGAGGTGCTTTTCTTATCCTGCTTTGGGGTTGACTTATTTTTGTACTTCTTCCTCCTCATCCTCCCTTAGTCACTCACTGAAGACAGAGACTGTGTTTTTGTCATCTTTGTATCCCTCATAGCAACTAGCAACCCCATGTCCTCTGCGTGGGCAGCCCGAATGAGTTATATCAGGGCAGTCTTCAAAATTGGGACACATAACTGAATGAAGACAATGGGCCTTTTCTCCAGTAAAATAAAATAGGCATCCGTGCACATAAAGTTTACATGTATTTGTAGAGAGTTTATGGACCCAGTTAAGAATCCCATGATTTAGACCATCATTAGCCTGCCTGGTCAGACCTCTACTGACTAGGCAATTTAGAATGCATCTTTAGAAATCTCTTGGCTGCCTGTGAAGTTTGTATGTGCTGTTTTTCAATGTTAAGCAAGCATCTCTATCAAGTGTTGAGCTACCCCCGCTTTGCACTAACTCCATGAAGGAATTGAAATTCAGAAATTCATCACTTATAGGGAATTGGTTCTCTTGATCTGCTGAGCCTTATTTCAGAAAGTCATGGGATGTTAGCCTTAGAAGGATCTGGAGTCCTGCCTGGGCCAAGGATTTGGAGAGCTTATATTTTTAAGGTATTCCCCTGTGTATTCCAAGGTAAAAATCCTTGGGTGTGGGAATGTGTGGCCTAGATAGACACCCNATTTGGAGAGCTTATATTTTTAAGGTATTTCCCTGTGTATTCCAAGGTAAAAATCCTTGGGTTTGGGAATGTGTGGCCTAGATAGACACCCTCATTTTAGTGGGTGAGCCAGCCAGGTTCAAAGAGGAACAGGGATTTGCTTTAGGTGAAAGGGTAGTAGGCCTGCCAGTCTACTTCCAGAGTCAGTGTTCTTTAAACTAGGGAATGCGGCCTTATGTAATAAGTATTGAGCAAGTTCATCTCATGACAGTGAGAATATTTCATTTGACTAAAATAAGGAACTACATATAGGCCTTGACTAAAACACATAAAACAGCAACAACAAGTCAGACTTACCTTTTTCCTAATTGGGAAATAAATTATCCAATCAAGCAATCGTTAAATGAAGCACCCATAGTATCTGAAAAGTCCTTTGTCTGATGACCTGCTCTGATGACATTCTGCGATATGAATAACTGCCCTCAGTGTGCACAAACAGGCAGTTTTGAACTTTGCTTTGGTCAAGACTCCTCGGAGGCCACCCCTCGAGGGCTGGGTATGTCATCCACACCTATGGATGAGCTGCATCGGAAGAAGGGAGGGAGCTTGTCAAAAATAAATAACTCCAGGCTCTGTCCTGGAGTCCCTGATTCCCCAAATCAGATCTGGGGCCAGAAATGTGTATGTTTTAGAAGTGCCCCAGGTGATTTTTGATAGACAGCCCGTTTTGGGAAATAGCGCTTGGCTTGCTTTGAAATGGCTGGGTACAGATGGAAGCACACACCCTCTCCCCCACTACTTTGTTTTCTAAAGATTTTTCTTTAGAGCTGTAATGAATGCAAGGGCTTTGGAATGAGGCTGACTTGGGTTTC